CTGATTCATACTGACCTTTTTAATATTATAGTTTTATATTTTCTGTGTTCAGCCTTCAGAGTTCTGTTGAAGTTAATCTGATGCTGTAAATAAATGTTGACATTAGGAGGATGGTGGTGAGGCCAAGAATGAGTTCTCCTGATGCTCCTTAAACTAAACTACCCTGAAAGGACCAGGTCTGAAGGACGGAGAGATTCAGAGACTGAAAAGATGGAACTCTGCTCTGAGCACTGAGGAGAGCTTCCTGTTGCAGAAACTCCTGTCTGTGAAACCAGCTGTTTAATGTTGACCTGAAGAAAAAAAGAGAACTTCACCTTCCTGTTTGCTCTGTTGTGTTTGACTTTGTATCAACCTGTTAATCAGTTTTACTATGTTTATTATTATAGATGTAGTTAAGTTTGTTGGTCATTAACCAGGTTCAGCTGTCTGGACGTAGGAACAGTAAGATAAGAATAACTTTTGTGCTTTTACTTAATAAAACTAAATAGATCGTTTTGATCTATTGAAAGACATTTTTCTCCTTTTCTGCTTCTTCAGCTGAGCCTCAGGTTTCTTCAGCAGCTCTTCAGTGAGGCCCCTCATATTCTACAGTTCTCTAATAAAGACAGAAATGCTGATCTGCGTCCCTGAAGAGAGCGACGAGCATTAAAGGCGTCAGTAGGCAGAGTTTCCTCTAATTCTCTATCAGATACTAAAAGCTTTAGGAGGAGAGAGACCTCTGACACATGCTGACCCCCCAGGCCTTTGTTACCACACTGTTGGTTTCATTATATTAATGAAGTGAGGATTTAAAGAGCTCAGAGTGAAGACTAAAGAACTGGATCTGACTCAAGCCAAGAAGGAGGACAGAAAGTGTGCTGTAACCCCAAACTGTGAGGAGGTCAGGCTGCCTGCTGGGACAATAAGGACAATTATTAGATTATTTCTTTCCAGCAGCGTCTTAATTTCATTCTTAAATTGTCACTGGTAAATTCAAAAGTCTTTAAAATTGGAGCAGGAAGCATTTTGACCAGTTGTGGAGATTAAATGCATCAATGATCAGTCTCCACTGACTTTACTCTGGATGTGAGCACATATTACTTTGACCTGAGAACACGACATTTAACTTTTACATACAATGCCTATAAAAAGTATGCACCCCCCTTGGATTTTTCACCCTTTTGTTTCTTTTATACATGAAATCATCAATATAATTTGGCTTTTTGACAAGAATTTAATATCAAAGTGAAATCAGATTTTTACAAACTAATGTCGATTAATTAAAAATATGTAAGGTAAAGCAGATGATAAATATTCACCCCCTTCAGGTCAGTATATAGTAGATGCACCTTTGGCTGCAGTTCCAGCACAGAGTCTGTGTGCATATGTTTCAATCAGGCAGGCACATCTGGACACTGCAATTTTTCTCCCGTCAGGTTGCTCTGGGATCGGGCGTCCAGCCCCAAATTCTGGATTGGATTGAGATCTGGGCTTTGACTTGGCCGCTCCAGAACATTCACCTTGTTGTCTTTGCACCATTTCTGTGGAGCTTCGGCTGGATGCTGGGGGTCGTTGTCTTGCTGGAAAATAAATCTTCTCCCAAGTTGTAGTTCTCTTGCAGACTGAGTCAGATGATGTGCAGTGTTTGGTGTTCGCCAAACACAGCGTCTAGTCTGATGGCCAAAAGCTCAACTTTTGTCTGCTCAGACCAAAGAACCTTCTTCCAGTTGACCTTGGAGTCCTGCACATGCCTTTGGGCGAATTCCACGTGAGATTTCATATGAGCTTAGTTCAACAGCGGCTTTCTCTTTGCCTTCACTCTCCCATCCAGCTTCAGCTGGTGAGGAACCCGGGCAACATGTTCAGTCTCTCCCCTCTGAGCCACTGAAGCTTTTAACTCCTTCCGAGTGCTCGTAGGTGTCTTGGTGGCCTCCCTCAGAAGACTGGTGAGGGAGCCAAATAATATCATTAAAATTTGCTACCCTTTCTAAATTCTTCTCTTTATTTCAATCCATTCCATATTTTCTCACCAAGACGTTCTTTAAAAAGCTAGATGGTCTTTGTAACAGATAGTGATTTGCTAAATTGTTGATAGTCTTATTTCATCTTTTATTTTGAACAGTAAAACACCTAGGATCCGGAAACTATTCCTACAAAGGCCCGAGATGCAGGGCTGCATGGCTCTTCCCAATTTGTTTAAATATTATTGTGCTGCAAATATCAAAAGCCTCTTGTCCTGGCTCCGGGATACATCCATCCCAGACATCCCTGCCTGATTTTGCTTTCTGCTCACCCGCTAGCCCTGCCAGAACCCCATAGTGCTACACTGATCCCAGTTTAGGAAACATCATGGACTGGTCTCCATGTCTGTCCATGCCCCAGTCGTAGCCAATCATTTGTTCCCAGCTTCCCTCTTCGACAATGCATTTGATCAATGGTTCAAAAAGGGGGTTTTGAATACTAGGATGTTGCATAAAGGAGACATTTTAATGTCATTTGACCAAATTCAGCATGAGTTTTCTCTTTCATATCATCATGAGCGTGAGGGGATAATATCCACTTCACACAGTTATATTTGATATGGAAGGCTCCTCACTGTCAATAAGAAAGGAGAACTGGGTGAGGGATCTGGGGACTGTCAGAACCGCTCATCAATGGGCCAAGATGAGAGAATTCATTCTTTATCTATGTGTGCGAGACATGGTCGTATTCAATTCAAGATTGTACATCGGCTCTATATGTCTAAGCTCAAGCTCTCCAGAAAAATCCATGTTTGTGACATTTTGGTCATGGCCAAGTCTGGCAGCATGCTCGTCCGCTATTTTTGGGGTCTACTCAGAGATCACAGGTTTGGCTGTTCGACCCATAGACTGTATATGAGAAATGGACGTAGTCATGGTGATGTCACCCGTTGGTTTGTGGACAGCCGTTTTGGAGCCTTGACTTTGGCCGCCATGTTTTGCAACCAGGAAGTGTCCAGAAGTGACGATACGGCGGAGATAGCGGCCGTGTGCGGAGCTAGCTAGCTTGCTTAGCTAGGTGCATCTGTAATTCACGTTAACTGTCATTTTAACAGAGCTGATCATTTTGTCTAGAGAACAACAGGCTTAAAACTAAATGTACTCACCAGAGAAAGTGAACAGCCGACTGCTAATGAGCTTTTTCAACAGAAAATTTTTTCACAATATTCATTGAGTGGATCCAAGGAGAAGTTATGTGACGTGGTAGCCTTTTATTTTGTTTGTGGACCAGCTGAAAATGCCCCCTCTGCAAGTACTTTGTATGAACATAATGTATTTCAATGCAAAACATGTCTTTCTACATGCGATTTATTTTTGTACTCAGCCAATGCCAGTTGCACTTCAGGATCTGAGTTGTGAAATATTACCACACCCTTGTGTGAATAGTACCATAGCGAAAGAAAAAAACTGTAAGAGTTGTGAAATTTTACCACATACTTGTGATAATAGTTCCAAAGTAATCAGCAAAAACTGTAAACGCAACAAGCCCTTCTGGTTTCTTTACTCAGGCCAATAATTTTCTCTTGTGCTACATGTAAATCTCTCATCAACAGTGTTTATCCTCTCACTGCAGCGTTGCACCATCTTCACGTGTATCTACTTTTGCACTTTTAAAATGAACTAAACCAAATATCTTCATTGTAGTAGCTGTTCTGAAATGTATGTTTTCATGCATTGTGCATTGTGGTGTACAAGGATCTACAGTCTATGTGATGCATCAGTCCTCACTAAATGACTACAAAATAACAAACAAAAGCCAAAACTTAAATTTCAAGATAACACAGAAACCATTTACCACAAGTCATCTATCTACCAAGAGCTCTTGGTGGAAATTTTGGTCAGTAATGTGTTTGCAGTAACATTACAGTCAAGGCAAAATAGAATAATTACTTATCCAGGTATTAGGGCCTCAGTGCGCTTCAAATGAACAGGTTTGTACATGTTGTCTGACCACGTCTAGATTCACAGGGGCAACTTTACTAAGCATAACACTTAATAAGAGCTGATGCTGAGCTGCTGGCACATGGTGAGCATATCTTGAAAGCATTGAAGAAGAAAAGAAAGCTGAATTTTAATAATTGCTTAGAGAGAGGATGTTTTGAAGTCGTCAGCTCAACAAAAGAATAGTGATCTTTTCTGAAAAGTAAGTGTGGGACAGCAGGACTCATCGCATTGACCGTGCTGTCCATTGAAAGCCAGCTGATTCAGCAGCTAACTTACATGACTTCTTTACCAGAAGTTTGCCCTTCTCCTCAGGTGAGCCCTCAGCTGTGGTGAGTGTCCATTTTATCATCCTGACTCTGCTGCTGCTCCGTGCATCGGTCAAATTGTTGTGCTGGATGGATTGATAGGCTATGGATGGCGCTGAGTGTCAGTGTGTCCATACTTATCTAGGCTGTTGTCATAGTGTTGTTGTCATATAGGCGCTTTCACCTTATTTTCTGTATGAATGGTACGCAGCCGGAAACGGGGGTCAGATCTGATCTGGCTCTGAGCCGGGAATGTTGATAGTAACATAGGTAACAGGTGTCACAAGTCACTGTCTTTTTTTGTCACGGTCTAACCCGGAGAGCCGGATTATGCTGCAATATTTTGTTCAGTATGAATGAGCGACTGCGGCACACTGCTGGATATTCTTTCTGAGTAGATTCCTGGATTTTCACGTCGTGTTCCATTAGTCTATTTACTGCATAATAGAATTCCTGAAATCCAGTTTTGGCTTTTGGATTTAGTTCAGGACTTCCAGTGGCCTCATCTGACCACCCCTAAGAACATTTTCTGGGGACGCCACTCGCCGGGGCGCCTTCATTCCAAAATGGCAGAGGCCTAGCTCTGCTGCCTGCTGATGTTGCAGTGGAACGACCTATTAGCTTTCAATTCTTGTCAATCTAAGTTCTTTAAGTCAACTGGGCAGAGGACTCACTTCCTGTTCTTCTGCAACACACACACACACACACACAAAAACAACAGGAAGCACATGGTTTCCTGTTGTTCAGATGGTATAAGCTGCAGGTTGTGAGCTGATGCCAACTGAACATCAGAGATGGAGAGCGTACTGACAAAACTCGCTTCTGGGAAGCTCAGCACCTACGCTGCAATCATTTTGATGTTTACCTACACTATTTTGCTCAACAGGGACCTTGCGTGTACTTGCAAAACTCAAGTACATGGCTGCAATTTATATATAAGTTTGCCCATTTTTATAATATTTCTCTTGCTACTCTGGACAGACAAGTCATTTCAGAGAGTCTGTAGGTACATGTGTGCCTTTAAAGGCAGTGGGCAGCTTCACACCAGGAGTTTTATTGGTTATTTCTTGCGTAAGCTTCTTAAGGCGTTTTTAGTCGGTCTGCTTTGGGTTGCTTTTGTGTTGATCGACGGAGACTGGCATGTTTGCTGTAAGAATAATGGCTCTGATCAGGCAGACTTAGCCTGCAAAGACAAGGAGAATAATCTGACTCATGCGGACCGGATTGCGATCGCTGAACTGAAAAACACGTCCAAGGTGAGTGTTTCCATCATGTCAGTGTGTGACCTTTTATTTCATCAACCAGTACTGTCTTAATGAAATGACAGCACGATAACACAGAAATGCTGTTATTATATAACCATCCTTAGTTCTTTTTCAGGTTAGGGGTGGCGTTCTACTCTTTTTTATCATTCTGGTGGCATACCTTATGACATGTTTGGGATTGAAGTGCTGTGGAAAATCAAGTTTGTGCAACAGAAATTTTCTACATGACAAACGGATTTTGGAGGGAGAGGAAAATGCACTGAAAGAGATGCTGAAGGAAGTAACAAAAGAAGAGATGATTAAAGTCAAGGACCAAATACGTCTCGGAAATTGGGACCAGGTTGCTGAAGAACTACGTAAAGCATCTGCTGAGAGAAAGACACAGGTAAAGAATCAAAAATTGCAAGTGAGTTTTTTTAATTCAGTTTGTACAAAGGTCTATAACAACAAGTTGTAAGCAGGCAGAGTGTTAAGATTCTAGCAGGTAGAATTTTGTTTTGTTTTTGTATTGGCAGTTTTCTACAAACATTTTTCACGTGCACGCCTTATGTGCATGCGGTGTCCTGACAATCCTTAATAGAGTAAAGTGTTGAAGCTTCCTAAGGGATGGTAAACTAGAGATAGAGGGCTGTAGGTCATAACGGGAAAAAGGAGACGACAGCGTGACCGCCATTTATGTCATACTACACAGAATGGCAGGATGGTTAAAACATGTATTTCCTTAAGTTCAGTGAAATTTATAGGATAACATGTAAATGCATTATGCATGTGGAGCACATGCATTTTACATGTAGGGGTTCAATCCCTGGCTCCCCCTGGTTGCGTGTCGAAGTGTCCTTGGGCAAGATACTGAACCCCGATTTGCCCCTGGCGGCTGTTCCGCCAGTGTATGAATGAGTGTGAATGTTAGTTTCTGTTTGAGCACTTAGGCTCAGTGTATGAATGTGTGTGACTGGTGAATGCAGATGTAGTGTAAAAGCGCTTTGAGTGGTCGAAAAGACTAGAAAGGCGCTATACAAGTACGGAGCATTTACAGCATTTACATGTAGTCTACATGGGTTCAAATGTTTTCTACATGTCATCAAATGGGATCACATGTAATTGTGGAAAACATGGGAAATTAAATAAAAGACCCACCACTGTGTCCCTGAGCAAGTCACTTAACCCCTAGTTGCTCCAGAGGCGTGAGACCTGTGACATGTATAGCAATTGTAAGTCGCTTTGGATAAAAGCTTCAGCTTAGTGAATAAATGGAAATATGTAAATTCAAATGTTTTTTTCTTTAAGGAATAAATTTTGAATCCACAAAACTGATGCCCAGCATCACACAGTCAGACAGACAAATTTTCTTAGTTTATTTGCAAAATAATAAGGAAATAAATAAAAAGAACAAAAATGTTAATCGTCAAAAAGGACAAAGACACAGCACAAACAATATCTACATCCACAAAGTAAGAACAGTAGGAAAAGGAAAGAGAGAAAAAAATGTATAAAACAAACAGAAGCATCTTGCCATAAGGGTCAAAATAAAATAATAATCATAATAATGTTTTAACTTTGTCCTACAAGATGGCAAGTGAGTTAAAGATTTCATTCATATTCAGTGAACTCCATAACTGTGGACCTGTCTTGATGTATGAGAATAAGACATTTATCTGACAGCTTTAGTTACTAGTTAATATAAAGATTAAGATTTTGACACATAAAACATATGAAAAGATGAAAAATATGTTTTACTATAAATTAGGCTACTCAATAGTACAGCTATAGCAATTAGTGGATTAATCAATTAGTTGAATGATGTAACATTTATTATCTGCCTCCTGAACCCAAACTGGAACCTGGTTCAACAGGAGAAGAGCTTGACAGCTGAACGCTCTGGCTCCTAGTCTACTTTTGGAGACTCTAGGAACCACAGGTGCATTCTGGGAGCGCAGTGCTTTGGTGGGGTAGTAAGGTACTATGAGCTCTTTAAGATAAGATGGTGCCTGAAAATTAAGAGCTTTGTAGGTAAGAAGAATGATTTTAAATTATATTCTGGATTTTACTGGAAGCCAATGCAAAGAAGCTAAGACAGGAGAAATATGACCTCTTTTCCTGGTTCCTGTCAGAACAAGTGCTGCAGCATTCTGGATCAGCTGAAGAGTCTTAATGGACTTTTTTGAGCAGCCTGATAATAAGGAATTGCAGTAATCCAGCCTAGAAGTTACAAATGCATGGACTAGTTTTTCTGCATCATTTTTAGACAGGATGTTCCTGATTTTCGCAATATTACGTAGGTGAAAAAAGGCGGTCCTTGAAATTTGCTTAATGCGAGACTTAAACGACATGTCCTGATCAAAGATAACTCCAAGATTCCTCACAGTGGTGCTGGAGGCCAGGGCGATACCATCAAGGGAAACTATATCTTTAGATAATGCGTCACGGAGGTGCTTAGGCCCCAGAACAATAACTTCAGTTTTATCTGAGTTTAACATGAGAAAATTACAGGTCATCCAGGTTTTAACATCCTGAAGGCACATTTGAAGTTTAGCTAACTGATGAGTTTCATCTGGCTTGATCGATAGATATAACTGAGTATCATCTGCATAACAATGAAAGCTTATGGAATGTTTCCTGATAATATTGCCTAAAGGAAGCATATATAAAGTGAAGAGGATTGGTCCAAGGACAGATCCTTGAGGAACTCCATGAGTAACTTTGGCATGCATGGAGGACTCATTGTTAACATGTACAAACTGAAATCGATCTGATAAATAGGACTTAAACCAGCTTAGAGCGGTTCCTTTAATGCCAATGAAATATTCCAGTCTCTGCAATAGGATCTGATGGTCAATGGTATCAAATGCAGCACTAAGATCTAATAAAACCAGTACAGAGACAAGTCCTTTGTCTGATGCAATGAGGAGGTCGTTAGTAATTTTCACCAGTGCTGTCTCTGTGCTATGATGAGCTCTGACTGAAAATCCTCAAATAAACTATTGCTCTGTAGAAAGTCACACAGCTGTTTAGCAACTGCTTTCTCCAGAACCTTAGAGAGAAATGGAAGGTTAGATATAGGTCTATAGTTGGCTAAAACATCCGGATCAAGGTTGGGCTTTTTCAGAAGAGTTTTAATTACAGCTACTTTAAAGTACTGTGGTACATAGCCTGTTGATAAAGATAGATTGATCATATCTAGTATAGAAGTGCTGACTAAGGGTAAAACATCTTTAAGCGACCTAGTCGGGATGGGGTCTAAGAGGCAGGTTGATGGTTTAGATGAAGAAATTATTGAAGTTAGTTGGTAAAGATTGAGGGAAGCAAAACAGTCTAAACATATATCTGGTTCTACAGCTGTTTCTAAGGTTCCTCAGTTTAGAGATAAGTCGGTACCAGTTGAGGGCAGGTCTTGGTGAATTTTGTCTCTAATAGCTAGAATTTTATCATTAAAGAAGCTCATGAAGTCGTAACTACTGAGAGCTATGGGAATACTTGGCTCAATAGAGCTGTGACTCTCTGTCAGCCTGGCTACAGTGCTGAAAAGAAACCTGGGGTTGTTCCTATTTTCCTCTATTAATGACGAGTAGTACGCTGCTCTGGCATTACGGAGGGCCTTCCTATAAGTTTTAAGACTATCTTGCCAAATTAAATGAGAATTTTCCAGTTTGGTGGAACGCCAATTCCTCTCAAGTTTCCGCGATATTTGCTTTAATTTGCGAGTTTCAGTATTATCAGTATTCGGCTACCACAGGCTAACTCAGGCACCTCAGGCACTTCCGCACCGACTACCGGGGACTGGCTAGCTACAGTAGCTAAAGACTGATCTACCAAGGTGCGGAGCCGGACTTCACTGAGCCTCGCCTCTATGTCTACAAATAAACTACACTTATTACACGTACCAATACCGCTAAAAGAGGCAGAGGAGTAACTGAACATCTGACACACCGAGCAGGAGAAAGTAGGAGAGGGAGAAGGAGAAGCCATCGCTAGCTGCTAAGCTAAAGTCGCTAACGGCGAAGCTAAAGTACTGTAGCGTCAGTTACCAAAACTTTAGAACAAGTATGAGATTGAACAGCAGTCACTATGAGATGGAAAGAACTGTGAGTGCTTAGGCAAAATTACTGTAAGAATAAGTGTTTAGCGGACAGTTGGGTGTTGTAATCTAACAAATGTTACAGGTTTTTAGCGAGAGCAGCACAACACGGTAACAACACACAAGCACCGGAAACGGAAATGAGTTGACACGCTTACGCGGTATGAACCCTAATAATAACTAAATCACACAAAAACAATAGGGTTCTACCTCTACGCGGTATAAACCCTAAAGAAAAATAAATAAAAACAAGAACGATTCGAATAGGGTTCCCAGCCGCTTCGCAGTACTGGGAACAACAATGGATTGCATTCGCGGGATCCATGCCCACTTGGGGCTTGGACCCCTAATAATAATAATAAGACAAACTATGGCTGATATTTTCACATTCAGCCCCAGACTAGCTATGAATGATTCAGCAGTAAGAATATCAGTCAGTCCTCGCTCCCCACCCCGGGAAAAAAAATAGTGAACTCCCCTGAAAGCTATGGTATAGTTCGCACACTGCTTACAGCTCTAAAATGACATAAATTGCCAGAGTTACTGATCTAGGGTTTATCTGATCTCGCTCTCTGAAACAGAAAACCCAGAGTTTCTCTCATCTCAGGCTGAACGTAGTTTTGAAACGGGGCCCAGACAGCTGTGAGGGGTGGTAACGTAGCTGGTAGAGTTCTGCAATATAAACATCTAAAAACTGAGGTGCAACCTTGCTCTGTTTGAGACAGTGAGCTGAACTTTATCGAAGTCTGCCTGATCACAAGTGTTTTCACTTACCTTCAGTTTCACATGCAACATGCAGTCCCAAACTGCGTTGGTCAAATGTCTGAAGGGGATAACTTTACTTCCAGCAGATCAATAACGTAATGCACAGCAGAGTAAAGGGCAGGTAGACTTCTCATTAAATGATGACGTTAGTCTGGTAATATTCTGCCTTTTTTCTGAACACAGATCTGTGGGAGAGATTCTGAATGTGCAGAAAGTTTTGAAAATGAGCAGAAAAGCTGCTGAAACACAGGAGCTATGAAAGTCCAGGAGTTTATGACTGGATTAAAATTAATTAATTTCTCATTGAGGTGAAAAGGTGCCACATGCACATTTAAAGAAGTCACGTCCCCAAACAAAGACACAGAGAGGAGGGAAGACTAAATCATAACTCAGCAGGGATTAAATAAATTGATCTACAGGAGAAACAGATCTGAGTGCTCTGTTACAGTTAGGTTATAGTTACATTAATAAAAACATTTTCACCATAACCTGGTGCAGAAAGATTCATCAGGATGCAGGAATTAAAGTGTCTAAAGCTCAAATATCATATAATTCAGCACTAAACATTTCTTTAAAATAGTGCTAAATCTCTTTTTGTCTCGTCTCATGGGTTCAGCGTCTCGTCACACCCCTACAAATTATGTAAGCTACCTTCCTGAACTGAAAAGTTATAACATAGCAGAAGCGAAGCTTTCAGCAGGCTTCTTATTCAAATTCTGAAAAGTAGATCATGTGTAGTGAAGCCAGAATAGTTTTATTTTCAAACCCCTTTTAACAAAAACTACATTTGTTACATGGTGGGCAGTAACAGAACACACTGAGAACACTGAAAACTAAAGAGGGAATGAATAATAACAGCATTGGTTATACACGTTTATGTTGATTCAGTTCTTTTAATTTTCATTGTATTGTACATGTGTTTGTTTCTGTCATCACCACTAATGAATCAGACTAATGTTGCTTAGATAAAGTCGTAGTTAGCTAGCTCACCACAGTCTCTGCTGTGTGTTTTAATGAACTGCCAGCTGAACCAAAGACAGTTTCCCGTCATGGTAAAAAATGTTGTTGTAGAGTAAACAACACAATTTAACGTTTTCTATGTAATGTTTTAAACACAAACACACAGTAGTGAGAGCCACAGACTCAAAACCCACATACGAATGACAGGATTTATTTTTTATTTAACCGGGAGTAAAAGACTCATTTAGATAAAAAATCTATTTTTCAAGAGTATCGAACCTTCCTTGGATAACAATTTAAAATTTTTTCATTAGCTTTCTGAAAAAGAAAAAGTCCTAACTCACTGTCGAGTGGAAAATCTACGAATACAAGACCAAAACTGTGGCCCGTGTCAATCAGTTAAATTTACTCACAGTGTTACAGACAGGAATAACATCAGCATGTTAATGGTTTCAGAGTTAAAGGTTCAGTGTGTAAGTTTTAGTGGTGATCTACTTCTTTATGTACCAAGTACACTTTATTTCTCTTTTTGCAATAAAGAGTTAAGGAGGAAAGAAAGATTCTAATTATTCTGACACCACTTGAATGCACCACTCTCTTTCCAAGCACGCAGGAGAACCTACAGTGGCCGACACGCTCTGTCTGCTCTGAGCTAAATAATATGTGGGGTCCTATATTTGTCCAAATTTCTCTCATTTTATATATAATATCAGCGGCAGCAGGATGACTTCTGTGATTTATTGATGATAGTATCTTACAGGCAGCAACAACAGTTGAAGCAGCAACCGGAACAACAGCCGAAACAGCAACAACAGTTGAAACAGCAACAACAGTTGACGCAGCAACCGGAACAACAGCCAAAACAGGAACAACAGCTGAAACAGCAACAACAGTTGAAGCAGCAACTGGAACAACAGCCGAAACAGCAACAACAGCCGAAACAGCAACAACAGCCGAAACAGGAACAACAGCTGAAACAGCAACAACAGTTGAAGCAGCAACCGGAACAACAGCCAAAACAGGAACCGGAACAACAGCCAGAGCGGCAGCACCGCGACAGGTCTGTTTCTGAGCTAACCAGTCAGCTAATCAGCTCGCTCATCATAATATCTGCTGAGCTGACCATCATTATCTTTATCAGCACAGTTTCCTACAAGTTTAGAAGAAGTGCTTAAACTGAGAAAGTAGATCATAGAGATCACTTTTATTTGTTACATGCTGGGCAGCAACAGAACACAGTGGGAACACTGAGATAGAAGAAAAACTAAAGAGAACAGTATTCATTATACACATTTATGTTGCTTTAATTCTTTTAATTTTCATTGTATTGTCTTTTCAGGAGAAGGACCAGGAACAGATAAAGGTGAATGCATCCACACCTATCTACAAACATGCAAAAAATACATGGTTAACAGTGGGAGAAAAGGTTTTAATGTCGTTTAATTGAACCTTTATTTTAAACTTTGTTTTGCAAGAGAGAGCTGGCGGAAAAGCAGCTTGAAAGAGTACAAGTTTCAAACAAAGCACAGACAGGAGTAATACATAAATACAGGGGAACAAATCTGACCAATTTTCACCTGCTTCATATCCTGCAGAACTGAACCAAACTAGCATATCGATCTTCATCACCAAGGGACAAACAGAGGCAGCAGGATGACCTCGGTGATTCACTGATGACAGTAGCTGCAGGCAGGGCAGCAGGTTCAGGTGGCAGAAGCTAGAAAGCAAAAACACAAGGCAGGACAGAAACACAGCAAGTAGAAGAACAACTGACAAAGGAACAACTCATCTGGTGTGTCATTAGGGGCGTAAAAAGCTGGCGCGGGGCCCCGATGCAAGATGGTCATAGCGGGCCCTCCCATCATACTCAAAGTAGCATAAAGTCAGTAGCAAATTAAAGAAGTCAAAGCTTACTGTTAGGGTGTGAACTACAGGGGGAGCTTAGCTCCCCTCAATAAGACATCAGCTCCCCTAAAACATGATCTGTGATATTTTAACTCAGTTGTATTGTTTTCACTTTTCAGATGTCTGTCATACACCAGCGGGATGACAAGAGTTGCGTGGAAACTGACGAGGTAATGTAATTTTTGTAAATATGGCATAAGTTGCTTGCTCCAAAAACTTTGTCTGTTGCAGTGCAGTTTTCAGGCTGTAGAATTTTGAATGTGTTCGGGGCCACGTAACGTTCCTCATCATCATCGTGGTGGATGATGCGATGCTGTTGCTAACAGCAGGTGCTTCCTGTGCAACTTCAGCTCTTCTTGCTCAGAACTCGTGCTTCTATCCTGTCTTTCTTTTTAAGGAAACTGAAGATTTTTGGTGGCTTTTGTTTGCTCAGCTGCTTCTTCCAATTTTCTTCCAACTGTAGATTTATGTGGAGTGTTTGTATGTAAAATTATTGTGACATCAAGTGTGAGTCAGAGACGAAATACCTACTGCGACACATGTGAAATCATGTGGCTGTGTACATTATCAGTAAACGTAATTATATAACTTCACTTAATTTATAATTATACTAACATGAGACGTAAATTAAGGGCCCTGCAATGACTGCGGGCCCCTATACAACTGCATTCCCTTCATATACAGTAGTTACGCCACTGGGTCTCATTTATAAACGGTGCGTACGTACAAACCAGGGCTGGAAACTTCCAATGCAAAGGTTGTGATCTGTAAAAAACAAACTTGACGGGAGAATGTGCGTCCTGTGAGTAAACTCTGAACCGTGCGTACGCACATAAAGAGGAGGAAGGAGAAACAGCGACTCACATGGCAGAAGGATGAAACGCTCTGAAATGAGCTAGAATATTCTACTACTGTGTAAAATAAATCCAAATATTACCTCTGAGTATTACAGGCTTAAAGCCTTTCTGAATAAACAAACATCCATTTGATTGATTTTCCCTGAAGTGGGCAAACAAAAACATAATTTAAGATCATTTGCAGCCACAAAGAACCAGCTTCAGGATAATAAACACAAGCTGAGATTCTGTTTCTGCAAAAGAGCCTCAAATATGTTGGACCGTTTAATCAGGAATCATATTAATTAATTTTTAATTAATTATTTTTTAATAAATTATTCGCATAAATAAGGTGAACAGGAGACAAATTATATTTAAATTGATTTTCAAGTTGACTGTGATTTATAAAGGGAAGTCGGCGTAGCACGTGTGTTTTATAAATCTGAATATTTATATAGATTTATATTTATATAAATGAGACCCCTGGGCTGGTAAATAGGGAGTGACTAATGAGGAAAGTGACAACAGGTGAACGAAGGGAGTCAGAGGGTGGATGGATGGAAAATGACAGTGAAGGTTTCTGGGGAATAGCGATGTGGAGAGGAGGGACAAAGAGACAGCCTTTACTTTACTATATGATGTCCAGACTGTGGATCAATCAATAATCCTCGTTGCTAATGATCAACATGATCAACATGATCTATCTGTAACGTCCTCCTCTCATGTTGTCGCCCTGCAGCTGTTCTTGTCTGTTCTTTGTTGGTCATGGTGCTGTTGTTAGGTCATGGTGGAAGTCCTCCCTCCCTGATCTCTCTGAGCTCAGCTTGGTGTGTCATTATGAGGAGAGACAGGATTAAAACATTCACACCAAATATTACCTCTGTACTTATTCTGTGATCTGTTCCAGGTGAGACGCTGACAGATGTTCTGTTTGACAGAGGAGGAGCCAGGTCCATCAAGCGACCCATAAATGCTGGCAGACTTTGATGGTTTACACAACAAAGTGTTGAGAAATTCTACTGAGCTTTATTCAGAAATTCTACTGAGCTTTAATCTGTAACTGAACTGTTTATCAGGGATGCAGCTGCAGCTTCTTTGCTTTTCTGATTCATACTGACCTTTTTAATATTATAGTTTTATATTTTCTGTGTTCAGCCTTCAGAGTTCTGTTGAAGTTAATCTGATGCTGTAAATAAATGTTGACATTAGGAGGATGGTGGTGAGGCCAAGAATGAGTTCTCCTGATGCTCCTTAAACTAAACTACCCTGAAAGGACCAGGTCTGGAGGACGGAGAGATTCAGAGACTGAAAAGATGGAACTCTGCTCTGAGCACTGAGGAGAGCTTCCTGTTGCAGAAACTCCTGTCTGTGAAACCAGCTGTTTAATGTTGACCTGAAGAAAAAAAGAGAACTTCACCTTCCTGTTTGCTCTGTTGTGTTTGACTTTGTATCAACCTGTTAATCAGTTTTACTATGTTTATTATTATAGATGTAGTTAAGTTTGCTGGTCATTAACCAGGTTCAGCTGTCTGGACGTAGGAACAGTAAGATAAGAATAAGTTTTACTTTGTAGGAGCTTCTGCTTTGTGCTTTTACTTAATAAAACCAAATAGATCGTTTTGATCTATTGAAAGACATTTTTCTCCTTTTCTGCTTCTTCAGCTGAGCCTCAGGTTTCTTCAGCAGCTCTTCAGTGAGGCCCCTCATATTCTACAGTTCTCTAATAAAGACAGAAATGCTGATCTGCGTCCCTGAAGAGAGCGACGAGCATTAAAGGCGTCAGTAGGCAGAGTTTCCTCTAATTCTCTATCAGATACTAAAAGCTTTAGGAGGAGAGAGACCTCTGACACATGCTGACCCCCCAGGCCTTTGTTACCACACTGTTGGTTTCATTATATTAATGAAGTGAGGATTTAAAGAGCTCAGAGTGAAGACTAAAGAACTGGATCTGACTCAAGCCAAGAAGGAGGACAGAAAGTGTGCTGTTACCCCAAACTGTGAGGAGGTCAGGCCGCCTGCTGGGCCAATAAGGACAATTATTAGATTATTTCTTTCCAGCAGCGTCTTAATTTCATTCTTAAATTTTCACTGGTAAATTCAAAAGTCTTTAAAATTGGAGCAGGAAGCATTTTGACCAGTTGTGGAGATTAAATGCATCAATGATCAGTCTCCACTGACTTTACTCTGGATGTGAGCACATATTACTTTGACCTGAGAACACGACATTTAACTTTTACATACAATGCCTATAAAAAGTATGCACCCCCTTGGATTTTTCACCCTTTTGTTTCTTTTATACATGAAATCATCAATATAATTTGGCTTTTTGACAAGAATTTAATATCAAGTGAAATCAGATTTTTACAAACTAATGTTGATTAATTAAAAATATGTAAGGTAAAGCAGATGATAAATATTCACCCCCTTCAGGTCAGTATATAGTAGATGCACCTTTGGCTGCAGTTCCAGCACAGAGTCTGTGTGCATATGTTTCAATCAGGCAGGCACATCTGGACACTGCAATTTTTCTCCCGTCAGGTTGCTCTGGGATCGGGCGTCCAGCCCCAAATTCTGGATTGGATTGAGATCTGGGCTTTGACTTGGCCGCTCCAGAACATTCACCTTGTTGTCTTTGCACCATTTCTGTGGAGCTTCGGCTGGATGCTGGGGGTCGTTGTCTTGCTGGAAAATAAATCTTCTCCCAAGTTGTAGTTCTCTTGCAGACTGAGTCAGATGATGTGCAGTGTTTGGTGTTCGCCAAACACAGCGTCTAGTCTGATGGCCAAAAGCTCAACTTTTGTCTGCTCAGACCAAAGAACCTTCTTCCAGTTGACCTTGGAGTCCTGCACATGCCTTTGGGCGAATTCCACGTGAGATTTCACATGAGCTTTGTTCAACAGTGGCTTTCTCTTTGCCTTCACTCTCCCATCCAGCTTCAGCTGGTGAGGAACCCGGGCAACATGTTCAGTCTCTCCCCTCTGAGCCACTGAAGCTTTTAACTCCTTCCGAGTGCTCGTAGGTGTCTTGGTGGCCTCCCTCAGAAGACTGGTGAGGGAGCCAAATAATATCATCAAAATTTGCTACCCTTTCTAAATTCTTCTGTTTATTTCAATCCATTCCATATTTTCTCACCAAGATGATCTTTAAAAAGCTAGATGGACTTTGTAAGAGCCATTTTGTAACAGATATTGATTTCCTAAATTGTTGATAGTCTTATTTCATCTTTTATTTGGAACAGTAAAACACCTAGGATCCGGAAACTATTCTTACAAAGGCCCAAGATGCAGGGCTGCATGGCTCTTCCCAATTTGTTTAAATATTATTGTGCTGCAAATATCAAAAGCCTCTTGTCCTGGCTCCGGGATACATCCATCCCAGACATCCCTGCCTGATTTTGCTTTCTGCTCACCCGCTAGCCCTGCCAGAACCCCATAGTGCTACACTGATCCCAGTTTAGGAAACATCATGGACTGGTCTCCATGTCTGTCCATGCCCCAGTCGTAGCCAATCATTTGTTCCCAGCTTCCCTCTTCGACAATGCATTTGATCAATGGTTCAAAAAGGGGGTTTTGAATACTAGGATGTTGCATAAAGGAGACATTTTAATTATGTCATTTGACCAAATTCAGCATGAGTTTTCTCTTTCATATCATCATGAGCGTGAGGGGATAATATCCACTTCACACAGTTATATTTGATATGGAAGGCTCCTCACTGTCAATAAGAAAGGAGAACTGGGTGAGGGATCTGGGGACTGTCAGAACCGCTCATCAATGGGCCAAGATGAGAGAATTCACTCTTTATCTATCTGTGCGAGACATGGTCGTATTCAATTCAAGATTGTACATCGGCTCTATATGTCTAAGATCAAGCTCTCCAGAAAAATCCATGGGGGAAACCTGTTTGTGACATTTTGGTCATGGCCAAGTCTGGCAGCATGCTCGTCCGCTATTTTTGGGGTCTACTCAGAGATCACAGGTTTGGCTGTTCGACCCATAGACTGTATATGAGAAATGGACGTAGTCATGGTGATGTCACCCGTTGGTTTGTGGACAGCCGTTTTGGAGCCTTGACTTTGGCCGCCATGTTTTGCAACCAGGAAGTGTCCAGAAGTGACGATACGGCGGAGATAGCGGCCGTGTACGGAGCTAGCTAGCTTGCTTAGCTAGGTGCATCTGTAATTCACGTTAACTGTCATTTTAAAAGAGCTGATAATTTTGTCTAGAGAACAACAGGCTTAAAACTAAATGTACTCACCAGAGAAAGTGAACAGAGTGGATCCAAGGGGAAGTTATGTGACGTGGTAGCCTTTTATTTTGTTTGTGGACCAGCTGAAAATGCCCCCTCTGCAAGTACTTTGTATGAACATAATGTATTTCAATGCAAAACATGTCTTTCTACATGCGATTTATTTTTGTACTCAGCCAATGCCAGTTGCACTTCAGGATCTGAGTTGTGAAATATTACCACACCCTTGTGTGAATAGTACCATAGCGAAAGAAAAAAACTGTAAGAGTTGTGAAATTTTACCACATACTTGTGATAATAGTTCCAAAGTAATCAGCAAAAACTGTAAACGCAACAAGCCCTTCTGGTTTCTTTACTCAGGCCAATAATTTTCTCTTGTGCTACATGTAAATCTCTCATCAGCAGTGTTTATCCTCTCACTGCAGCGTTGCACCATCTTCACGTGTATCTACTTTTGCACTTTTAAAATGAACTAAACTAAATCTCTTCATTGTCGTAGCTGTTCTGAAATGTTTTCATGCATTGTGCATTGTGGTGTACAAGGATCTACAGTCTATGTGATGCATCAGTCCTCACTAAATGACTACAAAATAACAAACAAAAGCCAAAACTTAAATTTCAAGATAACACAGAAACCATTTACCACAAGTCATCTATCTACCAAGAAATTTTGGTCAGTAATGTGTTTGCAGTAACATTACAGTCAAGGCAAAATAGAATAATTACTTATCCAGGTATTAGGGCCTCAGTGCGCTTCAAATGAACAGGTTTGTACATGTTGTCTGACCACATCTAGATTCACAGGGGCAACTTTACTAAGCATAACACTTAATAAGAGCTGATGCTGAGCTGCTGGCACATGGTGAGCATATCTTGAAAGCATTGAAGAACAAAAGAAAGCTGAATTTTAATAATTGCTTAGAGAGAAGATGTTTTGAAGTCGTCAGCTCAACAAAAGAAAAGTGATCTTTTCTGAAAAGTAAGTGTGGGACAGCAGGACTCATCGCATTGACCGTGCTGTCCATCGAAAGCCAGCTGATTCAGCAGCTAACTTACATGACTTCTTTACCAGAAGTTTGCCCTTCTCCTCAGGTGAGCCCTCAGCTGTGGTGAGTGTCCATTTTATCATCCTGACTCTGCTGCTGCTCCGTGCGTCGGTCAAATTGTTGTGCTGGATGGATTGATAGGCTATGGATGGCGCTGAGTGTCAGTGTGTCCATACTTATCTAGGCTGTTGTCATAGTGTTGTTGTCATGTAGGCGCTTTCACCTTATTTTCTGTATGAATGGTACGCAGCCGGAAACGGGGGTCAGATCTGATCTGGCTCTGAGCCGGGAATGTTGATAGTAACATAGGTAACAGGTGTCACAAGTCACTGTCTTTTTTTGTCACGGTCTAACCCGGAGAGCCGGATTATGCTGCAATATTTTGTTCAGTATGAATGAGCGACTGTGGCACACTGCTGGATATTCTTTCTGAGTAGATTCTAGTCTATTTACTGCATAATAGAATTCCTGAAATCCAGTTTTGGCTTTTGGATTTAGTGTGCCACCCCAGGACTTCCAGTGGCCTCATCTGACCACCCCTAAGAACATTTTCTGGGGACGCCACTCGCCGTGGCGCCTTCATTCCAAAATGGCAGAGGCCTAGCTCTGCTGCCTGCTGATGTTGCAGTGGAACGACCTATTAGCTTTCAATTCTTGTCAATCTAAGTTCTTTAAGTCAACTGGGCAGAGGACTCACGTCCTGTTCTTCTGCAACACACACAACAGTTATCTTTTAAAACAAAAACAACAGGAAGTACATGGTTTCCTGTTGTTCAGATGGTATAAGCTGCAGGTTGTGAGCTGATGCCAACTGAAATCAGAGAGCGTACTGACAAAACTCGCTTCTGGGAAGCTCAGCACCTACACTGCAATCATTTTGATGTTAACCTACAGTATTTTGCTCACGAGGGACCTTGCGTGCACTTGCAAACCACAAGTACATGACTGCAATTTATACAGTGGGTACCGAAAGTATTCAGATCCCATTTTCCAAAAATCAGAAAAGTTCATTTTATTTCTCATTAATGTACACTTGGCACGCCATCTTGACAGGAAAAAACTGAAATGTAGAAATTTTTGCAAATTTATTAAAAAAGAAAAACTGAAATATCACATGGTCATAAGTATTCTACTACTGTCTCTATATTCTTCACTCCTGTAGGTTTTGTCAGCAAGTCACTTGTGTTGTCTGGGTTATGTTTTATTTTGTAACATTCTTCCTTGTGTATTTTAATCAGCTTTACTTCCTGTTTTAGTTTGTAGTTAGTCTGCCGAGTGTCTCTTGTTTTGTTTTACTTCCTGTGCTTGTCCTTGATTGTCTTAGTGGTCTCACCTGTGTGTAA